AATGCATTGAAAACCATTTAATCCGTATCTGCTCTTTTCCGTCCATAGAAACTAATGGGAAGCTGCTATTCCGCCTTCGACCATTCGAGGGGGATATTTTGTTTCTTTTTTTCTTAGGTCAAGAAAGGTTCAGGGAAGGCAGGGAAAATACAGTCCAGGCAGTACAGTGCCAGGCAGTCTGAAGACTGTCTCCCAGTCCACTGTCTAAACACTGGGAGGAGTGAGGAAGCAGACAAGCACCCTTTTCACTGGCCAACAGTTAACTGAAAGTTCACTTTTTGCACTTTCCCTGCCTCCCACGTGGGTTTTTTTCAGTTCTTAACTCAAATCTAAGTACTTAAGTCAAGTCAATATTTTCCTATGAGAGCGGTTCTTAAGTCAAAATGTTCTTAACTCAAGCCGTTCTTAAGTCAAGACCCCACTGTATCAGTTCATGAGACAGATCAGTAAATCCCAAATCAAGGTGCACCTGTTGTTTCCTCCAGCTGTTAATATTCAAACATAAATTAAATAGCCAACAATCCTCTGCATTTTCGTAACATCCCAGCCCAGCAGCCAGTTCACTTTGCTGAATGGCAAGCACTCAAAAAGCACAGGGTTCCCAGTCTCATGAACCACTGTAAGCACAAGCAGCTGATCCCATTTGCAGAGTTGCTACAGATGATCATATATATACATGTGTGTGTGTGTGCGTATGTATGTGTACACACACGCACACACACACATACATTTACACACACACACACACACACACACACACATACATATATACTGTACATATATACATATACATACATATGTATAAAGGTAAAGGTTCCCCTTGGCAAGTTTTGTCCCGTCGTGTTCGACTCTAGGGGGCGGTGCTCATCCCTGTTTCCAAGCCATAGAGCCAGCGTTTGTCCGAAGACAATCTTCTGTCATCACGTGGCCAGTGCGACTTAGACACAGAACGCTGTTACCTTCCCACCGAGGTGGTCCCTATTTATCTACTTGCATTTGCATGCTTTCGAATCGCTAGGTTGGCAGGAGCTGGGACAAGCGACGGCCGCTCACTCCATCATGTGGATTCGATCTTACGACTGCTTGGTCTTCTGACCCTGCAGCACAGGCTTCTGCAGTTTAGCCCGCAGCGCCACCACGTCCCTTATACATATGTATACATATACATAAATACATACATATACATATACATACATACACATACATACATATATATGTATGTATATACAGTATATATATGGGGGAGAAGTGCATGTGTGTGCATGTGTGTACACGCACACACACACATGCACTTCTCCCCCCCATCATTTTAATCAACATATTCACCGTATACCCACTGTTCTGTTGCAAATTATCTTCCTGTTCTAGATGTTAAATATTATAGAAATTTAATATAAGAATTCAACAATCAAATGCATGAATAAAGGCTGCAGTCCAGTTAATTCAGTAGGTGAAGGAAAGAATTGAAAATGTATATTGAAACTCTTTTTTTTCTATCAGTGTCTTCAAGTGGGGTTTCTGGGTTGGAATCTGTTGAAATGGCTCCAAAGTGTTGCTGAAAGTGCAGTTATGTGGAGACATTGTTCTACACTGTGTCACAGGGCAACAGTGCACAACCACTTGCAAAGTAGTAACTAAGACAATTGGTTCAAGTGACACATAGTCTAGTGAAATTGCAATGAGTTGTACCACAGTTGTCAGCTAGATTTGGGATGAAATGGTGCTTGTGCAAATGGAAGAAGACGTGCTCTCTTTTTAAGGGTGTTGTTGATTGACAACATTACAAATGTCCAGGGATGGTGTAAGTGCTCTCTTCAGGCCACATGTTGCCTCCAAGCATTTTGAGGCCCATAAATCCTAACATACTTCCCTTGATGACCCCCCCCTCCCCACATGCAAAAAAATCCAGCCAGGGACAAAGCTTCTGTTTGTTTCACTGCTAGATGCCTCAAGGAACAGTGCTCCGAGAAGTGGGCATATGGTCACTTCCAGTTTTGGATCTTACATCCCAATTTGTGTCCATTTTTGTCCAGGTCTGGGACTGGTGTGATCCTGGGGGAGGCGGCAGGATCTGAACGTGGGACTCCCCTTCCCTGCCAGCACTGGCCACCTCACATCTAGTGTAAGGTTGTGCTAACCTTCCCTTCTCTACCCAGAAGGTTTTCACCAATACTGGACTCAGACAAGACAGCCAATATACTGTATGTAAAAAACAGCATGACTTGACAGCATTTTAATGTTTTCTGCAGGTTCTAAGTAAAGGGTTAGGAAATTCCACAGTGGAGGGGAAAATATTTGAATGTAGGATGATTTCTTCTTAGGCAAGTCACCTGAGGATTTCTGAGGGAGGCCAAAAGAGTTAAAAACAGGCACTTCTCTCCCCCCCCCACACACATCATGTTTAATCAACATATTCACCATATACCCACTGTTCTGTTGCAAATTATCTTCCTGTTCTAGATATTAAATATGATTATAGAAATCTAATATAAGAATTGAATAATCAAATAATCTTTGAAAGCAAAGGAGGTTTTGGTAGGAAGGAAAAAGACCTGTTTGTCTCCATGAAACTTTATAGATTAAAGAAACAGGCCTATGGGCAAACAAAATTCATATTGCTTTCAACAACTGGTAATTGGAAGTAGAGCCCCCCTCCCCGCCCCCTATAAAGTAAACACATTTTTATGGCTTTGAAGTGATTACTGGAGAGTGCCATTTTTCACAGTGGTATGTACTGGCCTCACAGCCAAGGAATCTTCATACTTTAATATTAGAAAAGAAAGGTTCCCAGGAGTCTAGAGATCCATGTTTTATTCATTTACGATGATGTATAGCTTGGCTTAACTCTAAGGACAATATCATCAATCATCATATGACAAGTGCCTGGTATTGCTAGGGCATTCATTCTGTTGTACATATAATTCTTCTCACTCTCTGTTAATAATAACCTGACTCCTAAATGGTATATAGTGAACATTAATGACTCCAGCTAAAATAAACTGGAGTATTTCATTACAGGAGTAAAGGGGGGACTATCTGCCTGGAACTGGACACAATTTAGACCGTGGATGATAGACCATGGAGTCAGGGGCAAACAATCCATTATGCCATTGTAGAGCATTTGACAAACACTTGCCAATTTGCTAGGAACAAGTTGGCAGGTTTGCCGAGGACACTCTGAAGTCATGTTGAAACCAAAGAACACATTATGGTCTGACACATACTGGAAAATCTAGCTTTGGTTGTTTCAGATACAGATGTCTGTCATTTCATAATCCTATTCAGTCACTGACTTACTCGTGTAATAAAAGGATGTTGGTGACATGGGCATGCACAGAAGCCCTGATCCCTGAATGTCCCCATGTACCACGGAAGTAATCTAGATCAGCTATTCTCAACCTTTTTTTGGCCATGGCTCTTTTACGAGCCCTTCTCAGGTTCAAGGGCCCACTCTCAAATAATGAAAGCCTTTAGCTGCCTTTCTAAACAAGGAGACAACACAAACTGATGACTCTGTGCCCCCCTTCAAATGTGCCAGGGCTCCCCAGAAGGCCATATGATTCCCATTGAGAATGGCTGCCCTCAATCTTTGTGCATTGAGTATGGAGGTCTGAAGAGTTCCCTGTAGACAGAGCTTTTTTAGGTTTCCAATCAGGGTTTATGTGTAACATCATTCAGGTGACACATCTTCAGATCTTTGTGTTCAGCACAGGTAGGTCTAGGATGCTGCCAAGTATGGGGTGCTTTATACGCATCCCTACATCCCTACCACCCATTTGGCTATACATGTGAGCAGGCAAATGCGTGAATAGATCTTAGGTTACATGGCCTCTCAAGAACTACAAAATGCTGAGTTCCGTAGGTCCTGCTGGTATTTTCTGTGCCAAAATAAGGGGGAATCTGCCATGTGGTGTTCACCTAGTAGCAAGCAGGAGGAACGACCACCATGAGAATCCGGCATGCTTCATTGAAGGCCCAAGATGACTAGGAGCCAGTGTTGTGGTCAAAAGGGCTTAACAAACCCAAGAGAGTGTATGAGTGAATGTGTCAGGCCTCTGGTGCATAATGGACTTTACACTTGTGGAACAAGGAGCAGGGACAATACATATGTGCCCATACTGCCGTGAATGTTTATGAATGTAAATCAGGCAAAACAGGGAGCTTGCATGAAAGGACACAATCATGTGTCTTGCGTTGTAAAACAGAAACATTATTTCTTAAAGAGAGGAAAGGGACCAGCAAAAGCACTCCCAGGAATTGGTCTAGGGGTGGGGTGCATAGCGGTATGTTAGCATAATGCACACACATAGCATGTGCAACTAAACCCAGAGCATCTTTGTGTCTACATTAAAATAAATGCATTTACGATGGGGTGGTCCCCATGGGGAGCAGTATTTTAAACAATTTTCTTTAAAAAGTTAGCATAAAGTAGTTAGTAGTACTGCTAATGCAAAGGCAGTAAAAAAATCTTGCAAGAAATATCTAGTTCTACATGAATAAGGAATCATCATTACCACCACCATCTTCATCCACTGTTAAACATTACAATGTGCAATAACTTAATATTTTTTCTTTTATCACAGATTTAGGCATGTGAGTTAATAAGCCAAATATTTTTATAGTGATTTGTTTGATTTATATTCTAACTTTTCTTATAATGGCCCCTACAAATATTTAAATTACAGACATTCAATGTATTTCCATGTCCTAAATTTTATAATATAGACAACTTACAAATATTTACAATTAAAGGGTTGATGTTAAAGATATATTCTGATCCTTAATTTTATCATGTGTTGGAAATGGATGAAGTCCAAAGTTAGGGGAAACTTTTATTCTAGGTATTCAAAGATGAGCTTGCATTTGCTGACAAAAAAAAAATGTTGCCATGAGTGTGAAATTTTCATGTTAAACCTCAGTGTTGTTGCTATTTATGTGATATATTTATTATTTTAAATTAATTTTCTCTAGACAAAATAAAGTGTTGTACTACATTGCAGCCTCACTGTTAGGAATGAAGACAGAGGGGACAGTTCAGGAAGGCCAACACACAGTACCAAAATGGAGAGCATCCAGGTTGTAGAAGAGTGGTAAGTTAACAGCAAACCTATTGCTATTCAGACTCCAGTCTTAAACACATGTTCTTGGGCAGGGGTAGATCTATTTTGAAACTAATGAAACTTAAGCTTTGGGGCCCCTCGTCCTGGAGGGACCAGAGAAGCAACTTTAGTCCATTTTTTTTTAAAGTTTGGTGACCTCCCATGGAACAACCCCATTGAAGAAGATAACAGTAGTTATCCAGACCTCACTGCTCATTGCAAAGGGACCCCATAACAGTTTAAGCTTCAGGGCCCTAGAAATATAGGTCCACCACCGTACTTGGGATCTACTTCTGAATACTTGGATAGGTGTGCAGTGCTAGCCACTGCATCGAAACTGCAACCTGAAATTTGGGATTCTGCCAACTGCTCTTTGGCCACCGTACATAACAAAAGCTTTTATTTGATAGTGCTGCAGAACGCCTGATAACCTGACTGTGGTGCAAATAACTCAGATTAAACACAGTTTCTGCTGCTTGTCATTTTCTGGTGTAAAATGTGTTTTCCAGAAAGAAAGAAAAATACACCTGTATTGCAAGACTTACTGCTGTGTGCAATAAATGTAAAAAACCCACTGAAATGTAGGAAGACTTCATATTCATGCAATTCAAATTCTCTCCAGAGAAAACGAAATTCTTCTGCCAGTGTTTGTTCAGTGTTAGGTTTTTTTCTGTTAAAAAAGTATCTCTGTGTAATTTATTTTAGTTTTATTGGGCAAGGTGTGGGTCAAAGAATTCTGTGAAATCCTGAAGCTCCCTCGCCCCCTATTGGAATGCTTAGTCTTCCATTCCTTTCAGAGATTCAGCAAGAATGCCCCACTATTCTAACCCTGCCTCTGCATGTCCTTAACTGGCATGTCTAGAAACTTGCCGCCTTCTTTTAATTCAAAGGAGAATTTGGGGAAGATTCACAATTTGAGTTTTGTGTGTGTGTTTCCAAACCATAACCACAGTTTGAGGTAGGAATCCTGTTGAGGAAAACCAAGTGGTTCAATTCAGCACCTCCTCATGCAGGTGTAAAGCAGTTTCCATAACAGAAATCTCTGTTTGCCTACCAGGACCACATGTGGACCAGATATGCTGGAAGAATATTACACTAACCCTCACCCAACAGGATCCCAGCTTAGATGATCAGGATGAAGCCACAACAAGATTTGGTTTCATGCTCTTTCCCTCCTCTCTCCATTTATATCACACAAGGAGAGGAAATGCTTTCCCTTTCACTTTAAAGCCAACTCCAGTTCCGTGTTAGCAAATCTGGATTATTCTAGCTAAAGCTAAATCAAATGTATGATTTCAGATACTGATTCATTAAATAATTAAATCTGAATATATACTGGTAAGTGGGTAGCCAATTCCCCCTGAAATTTCTGGAGCTCTGTTGTTATTGTTGTTGTTTAGTAATTAAGTCATGTAAGCTTTGTTGTTATTGTTGTTGTTGTTTAGTCATTAAGTCATGTTCGACTCCTCGTGACCCCAGGAACCAGAGCATGCCACTGCCTCCCAGAGTTGGGTCTAATTCATGTTGGTAGCTTCAATGACACTGTCCAACCATCTTGTCCTCTGTCATCCCCTTCTCCTCTTGACTTCACACTTTCCCAACATCAGTCTTTTCCAGGGAGACTTCTCTTCTCATGAGATGGCCAAAGTACTGGAGCCTCAGCTTCAGGATTTGTCCTTCCAGTGAGTACTCAGGGTCGATTTTCTTCAGAATTTATAGGTTTGTTCTCTTTGCAGTCCAGAGGACTCTCAAGAGTCTCCTCCAGCACCACAATTCAAAAGCATCAATTCTTCAGCAGTCAACCTTCTTTATAGTCCAGCTCTCACTTCCATGCATTGCTACTAGAAAAACCATAGCTTTGACTATGCGGACCTTTGTTGACAAGGTGATGTCTCTGCTTTTTCAGATGCTATCTAGGTTTGCCACCACTTTCCTCCCAAAGAGCAGGTGTTTTTTAATTTTGTGGCTGCTGTCACCATCTGCAGTGATCATGGAGCCCAGGAAAGTAAAATCTGTCACTGCCTCCATATCTTCCCCTTCTGTTTGCCAGGAGGTGATGGGACCAGTGGCTGTGATCTTAGTTTTTTTTATGTTGAGCTTCAAACCATTTTTTACACTCTCCTCTTTCACCCTCATTAAGAGGTTCTTTAATTCCTCCTCACTTTCTGCCATCAGAATGATATCATCTGCATATCTGAGGTTGTTGATATTTCTTCCGGCAATCTTAATTCCGGCTTGGGATTCCTCCAGTCCAGCCTTTTGCATGATGTATTCTGCATATAAGTTAAATAAGCAGGGGGACAATATATGGCCATGTCGTACTCCATTCCCAAATTTTGTACCAATCAGTTGTTCCATATCCAGTTCTAACTGTTGCTTCCTGTCCCACATATAGATTTCTCAGGAGATAGATATGGGCTACGGCATAGCCCATAGCATTTCTGAATTATTCAAGACCCTTCACCACAACAAGGCACCAAATCTCAACAAGGCAGCAATCCATGAAGGGATTCTGGAGCTAGAGAGTTTATTTAATGCAGGCATGAGATTACAAATGGGAGTTCTGGAGCTAGAGAGTTTAATGCAGGCATGAGATTACAAATGGGAAAACTCACTCTTCTGAACTACATATGCCCAGCTGGCCTGGCCATTCGGAAAAGTAATGTTTCCTGTTGCTGTATAAGACCCTTGCAGGCCTCTTTGTCGTTACCTAAACCATTAATTTAGATGGCTGTCTAAATAGTGTCTGTCAGTTGCCTCATTCACAAACAAAGCTTTGGAAGGTCATATTTTTAGCTACACCTCCCAGAATTTTGCAGTCAGCATATCCGGTGGTCATGGTGGATGTGTTATTTTAAAGAGTATCTTTTCCAAGTTCTGGGATTCACACAACCAGCCAGATACAGCAATAATTTAGAAAACACCCTCACACATTCCATGAGTAAAATCATTTCCCTCCATCCATAGATAACGTCAACCATTCTTAGGCAGAGAATTGCCTTTTTGATTTCATCTACAAAAACACTGGTATCCTTGCATTCTCTGTTCATGCTAGTTCATTGGCATAATCCTATCATATTTAAGAATACTGATTTCATGATCTTCCTGCATAATACAAATTTTCATTATAAAGGATTTTAGAATTCGATTTTTGCCTTCCCATTTTTCACCTCCACTTTTTCTTATGTTGGGACTTCAGAAAAATGCCTTCTTGTGGACAAAGGTATGTTTCTCCAACACAACATCCTGTGGTTTCAAAGAGTTGCTACCAATTATCTGTGGCCAAAGAAGACCCGGCTTTCTGGTCTATATACATAATCCATTCGGCAGCTATTTTGTTCATATAAATAGCTTATAATACACTTTGTTCTTTAGAGAATTCTTGCACATGCCGATCTCTATCTGATCCAAGCCCTCATTGGAAAGGGATGAATTTCTTATTGGAGAGGGATGTACGCGCAGGATATTTTCCCAGAAGACCCAGCATCTGCTGCAAGAGCGTAAGAGGAGCCATTCTGGGTGACACCACAAGACTTTCTAGTCCAGTATCCTCTTTCCACTTAAAGGTCCAATAGATGCATACAGGAAGGGAGAAACAAACCATGAAGGCAAAAATTCCCTCCTGCTTTTATTTTATTATTAATAACTAATCTTTCAGAGCCCCATTATATTGTAGTGGATAAAGTATTAGACTAGAATTCATTAGAGCTGGGTTCAAAATCTCTGCTTAGGCATGAAAACTCACGGAGGAATGGCAAAGTTAAACCATTCGTTGAACATCTTACAAATCTTGAACATCTTGTTTAGTAGGGCTACCAGAAATCAGAAACAACTTGAGAACATAATTACTATTTACAGGCATACTTCATTTTTTGGATAGTGGCCATATCCAGTAGCCCCTGGTAGGGTAATCTTATGCTCTGTGAGTACATCTAAACCTACTATAAAGTGATCTCTATTCAAGAAAATTGGAGACATTAAAGGGACCTTTTGTACAAAGATGGGCAGGATAAAGGATAAAAATGGTGGGGATCTCACAGAAGCAGAAGACATCAAGCGGGGGGAAGAATACACAGATAAATTATACCAGAAAGGCAGTGCCAAAGAATGCTCCAACTACTGTACAATTGCACTCATTCCACATGCTAGCAAGGTTATGCTCAAAATCCTCCAAGGTAGGCTTCAGCAGTATGTGAACCAAGACCTCCCAGAAGTACAAGCTGGATTTCGAAGGGGCAGAGGAACTAGAGACCAGATTGCTAACATGAGCTCGATCATGGAGAAAGCCAGAGAATTCCAGAAAAGCATCTACATCTGCTTCATTGACTATGCAAAAGCCTTTGACTGTGTGGACCACAGCAAACTATGGCAAGTCCTTAAAGAAATGGGAGTGCCTCACCACCTTATCTATCTCCTGAGAAACCTATATGTGGGACAGGAAGC